ACACACACACACACACACACACACACACACACACATTAAATCCTTAAACTTGTTTTTAAAACTTCTTTTGCTAAGGATTGGAGGAAACTTACCTGGCACTGTAAAACTTGTCGATCCAAAGGTTCCTAATAGCTGAAAAGCAGTTAACAAGCAATTTCCAAAAGTGATTAGAAAAGGAAGTATGCAAAAGGCGCCAACTGCAGTTTGAGCAAGATGGCTATTCTCTTGTTTCCCAGAGCTTTTATTCATATATATTACACACACACACACACACACACACATTAAATCCTTAAACTTGTTTTTAAAACTTCTTTTGCTAAGGATTGGAGGAAACTTACCTGGCACTGTAAAACTTGTCGATCCAAAGGTTCCTAATAGCTGAAAAGCAGTTAACAAGCAATTTCCAAAAGTGATTAGAAAAGGAAGTATGCAAAAGGCGCCAACTGCAGTTTGAGCAAGATGGCTATTCTCTTGTTTCCCAGAGCTCTAAACCCACTGGAGACTGCTATCTTGTGGTCTCCTCACAAGGAGTAACTGTCTGGAGCACTTGTGGTGATCTCAAGTCCTCTCCTTGTCCGGAGAGGAATTATTGAAGAGCCAGTCTACTCACCGGCCCTTCATTCCACTGTAGTCATTGGCTCCACTTTTTGCAGAACCATCTTCAGTCTAAATGGCAGACTGATGTCAGGAAGAAATCACATTGTTTATTTAAAAAGTCAGTATTAAAAGATTGGCAAAAATCAATGACAATTATAAGCCTCCACTTCTCTGTGGTCTTCCAAAAATCCACAAAGCAATGGTTCCACTATGACTAGTTGTTCAAACAGGCTATCCAATGGTGAAATTCCTAGTCTATATATGAAATACACTTCCAGGAACTGATCATAAAAAGCAAATCCTTTGACAGCAAAGGATTTATGGAAAGAAAAAAAAATCCAATGTTAGCAATACACACACACAATCAGCTGTTATGTTGCCAATCTCTTTATGAGTATCCCAACAAATGAAGCATTAAAATACCTACAAATCTGAGTGAAAAATATACAATATACTCAAAAGCTACACAGAACTAAGACAGATCACTGAAATAACTACCTGCTGCATAAATGCTACAATTTTCAAATATGGGAACAAACACTACAAACAGATGGCATGACTGTGAGATTACCAATATTATATAACTTGTTCATGAAGGACCTGTAACAGCCACAAAGAAACCAATCATGTAGCTAAATATGTTGATGAACATGGCATTTGTACTTTGGGATCACAAAGAACAAGGTTTGGAATAGTTCCTGCAAGACTTAATTTAACAAAATCCAACAATAAAATTCCCAGTGGAAAAAGAACAAAACAATACCCTATCTTTCCTAGATTTCCTAATTAAAATAACTAATACCAACCAATTACTGAAATCAATTCCAGTCCCATGGGGGAAAAAATGATTGAAATAATAAGAGATGTGAAATCAGGATTTCCTATGATTCTTGATTCTAAGCTGAAAGCTAAATTAGAAATGGTGAAACAGAACTAAGTAAAAACAACTTAAAATTTAGAGACATACCTGAGGACTTTGGTAAAGAAGATTTAAAAAGAGAAATGGAAAACTTACTTAAGACTTATCTTGATTTGGACATGGCCAAACTTTGGAAATTCATGAAATTTATAGAATAAATTCCTGTGCAGCACGAAGGAGAAAACTGCCACATGACTTACATGTAAAATTTATGTACGTATTTTAAGATAAAGGAGGAAATACTGACACTAAAAGGGAGCAATACTCCTTAAAATCTGGAGATACAATAATCGAGATTCTACCAGCTGTACTTCTAGACATACTTTCGAAGAAGAGAAATTTGAGATTTGTGACAACTTTCTTTGGGACAGAAAGATTAATACAGCTGGGCTACTCCATTTTCTCTAGATGACTTTATAGATAGTGCCAAAGCTTTGTGCACTCCACTGATGATATTACCAAAATGCTCTAATACTTAACTGTAGCAGAACAGGAGAATAAAGGCCAAGGACAGATTTCAAAAACTGAACCAAGCAGCTGCTACTTCTTCATAAATGAATTCAAGAACTGATATTACAGACCCAGTTAAAATATTTTCAACTAATATGAATGGGCTAAACAGTTCATTGAAAAGAAAAAAAATATTAAAGCTAAAAAAAGGCCCATATTATATGTCTTCAAAAGACAAACATCAAAAGTGATAATATAAATCTGTTGGAATACAAATATCTCAGATAAGATTTAATTGAATTCTTAAAATTCTTGGACAGATGAAAAAAATGGAGTAGCTATATACATGAAAAACTGGCAATAGAATTTGGAAAAACAAATACGAGACAAGGAAGGGAGATATATAATACTATTTCCAAAATGAATCTGGAAAAAATAATTTCCTCAGTCTATGCTCTAATTGACAATAAAATAAAATTTTATGAATTTTTTTTCCAATCACTTCTTGAAATTGAAGGGGTAGATATTCTAATTCTTGGGGATAGGAATGGGGTTCTCTCTCCATACATGGATAAATCTACTTTACTTAAAAGGAATATTGGTGAACTCCCTCAAAATGTCTTAGACTATATGTCACTACCTTTGCTTTTGGATGCACAGAGATATAAGAGAGAGAATAGAGA